CCAGTTCTTTTCAGTTGTTATTCATCCTTTTCATATCTGATTCTATTTCCTGACGTAATGTGTTCTTTGGCCTTCCGCTTTTCCGCTTCCCTTCAGGATTCCAAATTAGGGCTTGCCTCGTGGTGCAGTTTGATGATTTGCGTAATGTATGTCCTATCCATTTCCATCATCTTTTCCTAATTTCTTCTTCAACTGGAAGCTGGTTTGTTTTCTCCCACAGAAGGCTGTTGCTGATGGTATCCGGCCAATGGATGTTGAGTATTTTGCGTAAACAATTATTTATAAATACTTTTACCTTCATGATTTTGGTTGTTATAGTTCTCCAAGTTTCAGCTCCGTACAGTTTTTTCTTAAATTATGAAAACCATACGTTAAATACCTCATTTGTACATCTTTCAACGGTTGTCCTCTACATCATTCATGTTCCTTCCAATTCTTAATTCCTTTATGTTTCCCTTTCTGTTTTCTTCAGTGCAATCTTCTTAATATCCTTTCGACAGAAATTGCACTTCTGATAACTTCTGATAACAAAATCCACACTTGTCCACCACTTAAACGGTTGCTCCAGTGGTCATTATGCTTGTCGTGCCAGTTTCTTCTTTACAACAGTCTGTGCCACACTCCTCGTCAAAATGTCGAGTCCACCGGCGCACTGACTTCAGTAGCAATGCTGACCTGTTGAGTCATTTAAATCCGATGTCCGCTCAGCATCCACACATTCCATTACTCTTCTCCGTTAACAACAACCGCTACACTCACCCTTTATCGACATAATTAGCATACACTACATACATACCACATGTACTAGTCATTTTAACTGATACAGCTTCATTTGTGAAAGATATTATTACATTATCGAAATTTATCAAAGCGACTAATTGCTTTAAAGATATTATCCCTTTCTTCGTCTGAAAATCCACCTTTATCTATATATTTATGTGATTTACATATATAATTCGAACAACTTCAATAGTTCTGATTCTACTCTTCAAGCCCTAATCTTTCCTATTACTGCTTATATTTCTACTACCTCTACCGCTATGGGATTTGAATCGACAATTGTATCTCTGCGCTTATGTGTTATGGCAACTCGAACTGATGTACGTACGTACGAAGTTCTACGTTGTTGCTGACTGACTGACTGACTGAAATGATATCTAGACATAAGTGATAAGTTGTTTTTAATTAATAGATTAATAGATTCATTATAATATTTGATGAAACAGTTTTAATCACCTAAAAAACTTGGGATAGTTATGTATAGGAATCAAATCAAATTAATTTTTACAAACCAGTCAGTGCAACAATGATGAAATAAAGTATTCTGTGTATACTTCATGAAATTTTAATATTAAGTTGACAGTTTACAATAAAAAAGTTTTGTCATCTGACTGTAAGCCCGTGGGTCAGGAGAAAGACATTCACTCCTTTTACCAATTTTTGTACTTACCGGTACACTATCCTCGTATCTTGGTTATTACGTTTTTCATAGTCTTGCCTCTATTATAGTGTCAAAAAGACTGTCGAGTTTGGATTTTCACATCATGAACTGACTTTGTCCTGATAATTGTAGAAAACAAGAAGGTTCTAGTCATCTGTTCTGTCCTAGTATGGGACTCCTAGGAAGTAGGAATTTACAAACTCGTCAGCGATCGAATCAAGGAGTTTCAAAAGTTCAACTCAGTAGTCTGAAGGTTAAATAATTTTCTCTTATTTTCCGTTTAAATAAAAAAGATATTTACAGGATTCGAAAACATCACTAACAAGATTCCACTAGATAATTTTAAATAAATTAGGTATTGAGTAAATTGCTTTTAATAATAGTACATTTTTAATATTCCAGTGAGTAGAAAAATCGAATACTTGATGTTTTAAGACCCTATGTTAGTCTCTTTTTTTACGGAATAAATAACTTTCCAAACTAACAAAAGTCTAGTTAGCCCATAGATCAGATTAGATTATACGTTTAGTATATGGTAATGCTACGTCATTCAAATCAGTATTGATCCTATCCTACAACAGTAAATAGTCTTTTCAGAGAGTCACATCTAACTTATTTCAGATAACACCACAAACATACATGCATATATTTCTTTTTATAATATTGAAGAGTACAAAAACACAGGTTTGGGTGGGATAACATGAATTCCTCCATATTTCATTAGGTTCTTGTCAGTTTTTTATAACCTGTAACATTTAAAAATCATCATTACAAGTTGAATACACTTTCACAACTAAGTTTAGTTAGAATCTGTTTTGAACACAAATTAGCATAATATGGCAAGTTCACTTGGTGTTGTTTACTTGTATCTTTCCGTTGCTATTTGGGACTGCAATTGATCAGTCTCTTATTGACATATGTGCATCCTTTGCGTGTTGACTCGATATTACCTTGATTCACAATGATTCTAAGCAAAGATGGTTAGTGTCTAGTAATGGAATCCAGTTTGACGTGCGTTTCGTCCTATTTGGGACTCGTCAGCTGAATTTACTTGCATTTCAGAGTTGATGTTCATTTCGGGACTGGAATGCATGTATATAAGTATTACATCATTTTCATACCCATTCACAAACATATATGAATGAAAAAAATAAAGATTTGCCCTTGACTTTATAACATTAAATTAGCATAACCAAACTTATTTATGCATGTACTAAATAGTTGATGTAATTTATTCCTTGTACTAGTCGAACAAGTGTTCATTTAAAAAGAAAAGGTTTATTTCTTCTCTGAAAATATTGACTTCATTAAGTCAGAAAATGTTAGAAATTGTAACTATCTACTAGTTAAGATATTGTTGTTGCTATTATTATGACATATCAACTATTTGTATAATATTATTTGAATAGTTGAGATCATGAGTCAACCGAAGCTAGACCATCATGGAAAACCTGTAAGCACTGGATGGCCGTTTCGTTCTATTGTGGGACTCCTCAGCGGTGTGCATCCACGATCCCGAAAAGGCCATCCATTTCTTCCAGGTTTTCCATGGTATTTTAGCTTCGGTTGACTCATAATCTCAACTATTGAAATAATAATATTTGTTATGTATAATAATCTTGTTTATTTTTATAAAATTTCATACTAATAATCACCATTAAAATCTCCCTTATTTATTGACTAACTTCTAAAAGAAAAAGAAAAAATAAACTAATCACTAATATCACTGTAAGTATTAAGTACTTGATAATTGACTATCCTACTTACTGACACTTAAGAATTACTGTTTACTTCAAAGATGAATTAGACTTAAAAAAGAAAAAGAAATACTTTCCTGAAATATAATTTTCTTTTTGTTTTCTTTTCTTTTTTTGATTGTCCTTAAATATAAACTGTCCTTAATAACAAGTGAATTTGTATTTTTTTTTACCAAAACAACAACAGTAGGAAATATCTGTCAACTAATTAATGTACTATTAATAGTACTTTAATGTAAATTTTGATTAGATTTTTTGAGCTTAAATAATAACTGAGATAATTCACTTGATATTGTTTTTATTTGAATCTTCCCATTGATGTTTTAGGACTGAAGTTGATCAGTCTCTTATTGGAATATGTGCATACTGTGCGTACGCCTCGATATTGTCTTAATTTACAAGCATTATAAGCAGAGATGGATAGTAGCTAGCAGTGGAATCCAGGACGCGCGTTTCGTCCTGTTTGGGACTCGTCAGCTGGATGTACCTGCATCTCAGAATTAAACTTCACCCCATTGCACAAGCAAGTGGCTATCAGGACTCAGTAGCTAAGTGGATAACGCGATGGCATTTGAAGCTAACGGTACTGAGTTCGAGTCCTAGAGTGAACATCAACTCTGAGATGCAGGTACATCCAGCTGACGAGTCCCAAACAGGACGAAACGCGCGTCCTGGATTCCACTGCTAGCCACTATCCATCTCTGCTTATAATAACTGAGATAGTTTCTAAGAATGTGTATTATTTTTATTTAAATGAAATTAGTTCTTCAGCGTTTTTCCATTGTTTTGGCTTCTTTGAAGTTTGTCAAGTTGAACGGTCAAACACATTGAATCAGAATTATAGATGATTTGAGTTAGTCATATGATTCAAACAGTTGAAATTTCATACACATAAAGTTCCTTTTATCATTTTGAATAGAGCAAGAACAAAGATTTTAACAGAATAGTATGAATTCATTTTTATTTCTTTTGGTTCTGGTCAGCTACTTACAACTTGTGATATTTAAAGGTCACAGTTACATAATGGGTTTAAATTACTTACATGAAAGAGTTTGGTTGGAAGTTATATTGAAGACACATTAGTATAATATAGCAAGAGTGTAAACAAATTGAATAGACTGAATGTTGTAAATATATGCCTTATGTGAAAGAACATTCTACAAAATTGATTGTGACAACATTTCAGACGGCCAGGAACAAGTCTCTCATCATCTTCCTTCCTTTCTCCCAGTCAACATGTCCCATGAGTCGCTTTTCGCTGAAGTTGTCTATCCTGGCCTTTGAGTTTGGGTACCACATCAAGATGGTTGGCATACCTGTTTGCGTTTGAGAGCATTACCAAAATACAAAAATGCCTCTACGGAAGTTATTCTTTTTGTCCTACTTGTGTCTAATAGGTTACATTTATTCCAAGCAACTATTTGAATAGTCATCCTGGTTTCCTACAATGTCTGAACATGTGCCCATATTAGTGATCCTTCTAGTTTTAAGAAGAGTTATCGGCATTGTGACTTCTGAGGAATCTCGGCTTTCATCATCAGTGATCACAAAGCCTCTACATGAAGAGTGTTTAATCCCAAGAGTAAAGTTTGAATGGATTAAATGTTTTTCTGATTAGCCTTTGATTTTGAAAGTTTATTTTTACGCGGTGAGGTTGTCAACTTCAATTTCAACCCTTCCTTATCCCGGGTTGCGACTGGAAATTTTTTAGTCTGGCGTAAATCTTAACAGCACGATGAACCCTCACTTCTGTTTTTATGTTTTTATAAATGTATTTGTTTTATTTCTTTAATTTCTTTTAGTCGGCATAAATGCCCACACCAAAAACGTAAAACTCAGATAACTAAGCCATGTGAAATTTCTGAATATACTACACAGTATATCACTCATAAGCTTACACCAGTGGAATCATGTAAACCACCTCATAAAGGTGTACAAGCTGAAGGTCATATGGCGTCGGATACTACACACCGGTAAGTATGTTATTATTGGTATTAGTAGTATTTATTATTTAAAAGCAATTTCAACATTTGAATAAAATAAAAAGATATAATCGGAATCTATTCAATTTTGTCCTTTGGAAATGTTATGCTGAAAAGCGTTTTTTTCTGGTTAGCGTTTTTTTAGCGAGTTAGTTTTCTACGGGATGGGGTCGCTAACCCCATGCCCAACCCTCCTCCTTTATCCGGGCTTTGGACCGGCAGTAGCCTCCGGAGGGACTCCAGGTGGAGTTATGCTGAAAAGCATAAGATATTATTTTTGCTTAGACTCACTTGGCTCGATTCTATTAATGGTTTATATCGTGATGAGAAATACGATGTAATAATCAGATGACAGTTGGCACTCATTGAAACGTTTTTTCCAAATATCCAAAACTACTCAGTTAATTTTGTCAAAGAATCTATTTCAAAGAAATTCCAATTTCATGGTTTTACATCGTAGTTTGACTAAGTTCAATCGTTACAAACTAGAAAGCATTGGGTATCCGTTTCATCTTAGATTTACATTTCTAATATTACTTCATGTATAGCTTTTGATTCCTAATTCTCGAACCACATTCTCCGTAAATACTAATAGAACTTGCCAGACACCATCAGAGATAACTGTATTTTGAACATGCTTTCATTATTTTATCTATTCAGTAGAAGTGATCCTTTGTGTCATTACATGAAAATAGAATGAAGTGAAATGTTTTTTTGATGAAATCGTTTACTTAAGCTATAAATCATTCCTCGGCACTAATTCCCCTTTGCAGTATGTTTTAGTCTTGTTTTTTTATTATTTTGTAAATTTAAACTTTAATCAGTCATTATTATATATTAAACATTTTTCATGATTATTACCTAGTTATTATCAGAATGGGAGTTTGTAGAGATTGTAGTAGTTTTAATAGTTGAATCATTGTGCCTAGACCACCAATGAAAACCTGGAAGCACCGGACAGCCGATTCATCCTAGTATGGGACTCCTCAGCAATGAGCATCCACAATCCTGCATCAAAGGGAATCGAACCCAGAACGGTTGGGCTTGCTTGTGAACACTTGGACTCTAGACCACTGAGTGGGCATTCAACGGTGTTAATGTCTAACTTCAATGGATCCATAATCTTGTGTAACCATCCGTCCATTGTGGGAAGTAGTTACCTGTCTCTATCCGACACTGATTGAACTCCACTGGTCACGGCTTCTCATCAGAACTTCAGTAAATGCATCTTAGTTTAGATCGACCCATTAATTCAATTATTATTTGTCATTACGACCTTTACGTTTTTCATTTTTCTTCACATCTGCCAAGTGGACAATTACCTTTCGTAATTCTGACACGTAAATTATTTTCATCTTCCTATTCTTCTTTAACCCCTTGATCACTACGCAATCATCTTTTGAAATTTGAAACCTCAAATCAATTTGATGGTACAATCTTTTTTATCTTTCTATAGACTTATACATTTACTGAACAACCATTAATACGTATGTACAGCTTAAGTAAATGATTTGGTACAAAAAAAATTTTCTTCATTGAATTCTTTTACTTTAGATTGAGATCATGAACCGATTGGTGTTAGACCACCATTGAAAACCTGGAAGCACTGGACGACCGTTTCGTCCTATCGTGGGACTCCTCAGCAATACGCATCCACGATCCCGCTCGTGGGATTCGAACCCAGTACGATACGGCCGTCTAGTGCTTCCAGGTTTTCAATGGTGGTTTAACGTCAATCGATTCATGATCTTAATCAAAGACTTAACAATCTCTACAACCCCTGAACTGGGTTTTTTTATTTTGGTTAAAAGTAATCTTTTAAAACGCTTCGACAAATAAATGAGTCAGTTAATCAACCATTTCTTGACATTTAGTGCTTTCTTGATTAATATTAATTTGAAAACGGTATTTAATACAGTGTAACTAAAAATATGAATCACTGACCTTTTATTCAGTGCTTCAAAAATCAATGTATTCGTTGTAGAGAATAAAAGAATTGAAATCTCTGCATGTTTTTTTTTCATATCTGTCTTTGAATCATTCCTGGTATTATGGAATTACTGAATGAATGACTCAGAAGTCGGGCTTAGCGTACTAGGTGAACATGTTAAGGAGGTTGTTACTCTTCATCGACTGAAGTGGCTGGGAGATTTGTTACCATCCTCAATCACAGTCTACTACCATTTCCAATGTAGAAATACAACCTAAGACGAAATACTTTCTATATTGTGCTTAACAATATTAGTTGAATAACATATGGGTATCAGTCTTTGTTCAACTCATAAGTAACTATAACCTCCCATTGTTAATTAGTTTTTTTTAAATAAAATCTGAGTTTTTTTAATCGAGGGGTTTTGTGACAGTTATTTTAACTTGTACGTTGTACTCATCATGGATTGATGTCAGTATCTTCATTCGAAATTTTAGTGAAACGTCATGACTAGGAGAGTTCAAATACATCTACAATGAAATAGCTACCATAATACAATTCGACTATGGTTAAGAATGTATATCATTACATAACTAATATCTCTGTAGTTCAGACGGTTAAGTGGTCGCCGTGAGAATTTAAGATCTTTTGTTTTATCGCTGGTGGGATCATGCGTGTACAACCCTGATGAGCCTCATACTTGTACTAAACAGTTGTCCATCACTTTTTATTCCTTACTGTTTCCCCAACAGACATTAAATCGTAATAACTATCAGCTATAAATAATATCTGAAAAGTAGAAGAAGTCGTTAGTATGAATACTCTGTACAAAGTTTGTATTGACTAATGATTAAATTGATAATAGTCTGATTGTACGTCTTGAATTTCAGGTAAGTAAATGTCAGTTAGAATAACACTTTTCCAGACTTATCAAATTCAAGTTCACATTTAAAAGTGTCTCTTATGACTGGTTAACTAAAATGGGATCGTTTGATTGGAATGGATATAATTTTTAAGAGAAAACTTTAAATAGTCACTATTAATGATTATCATACTTTAACTGTAGTAATCTATACAGAACTATGGATTGATGGTGTAAACTATAGCCAGAGTCAACAATAAACTACAGTCTGTTTGAATACACAAACAAAACCTATGAACAGAATCAATCAAAAACAAATGAATCACAATGAACCCTTGGGGAAAAGCTGAAGACTACGCATCCACATACAATATACGCTAATGGTTTTGTCATTCGGAACGACATAAATGGCTTCTCAATTAAATCACCTAGCTCATAAAAGAAAACATTATTAAAATGTATATTTATGATTATTTCACAAGTGTCAAATCTATCCATTTCAATGACCCCTTGTTATTGACTGACTATCCCAAATTAACACAACAGTGGATTGAAATAATGTAATACCAATAAAGATAATAAATAGGGCTTTTCAAAAGTTATCATTTAATTTAATTACTGACTGGCTTTGATGTTTATCTTTTTTTTTACAGGGTTGATTTTGTACCTCATCCACTGAGTATTCAAAATAGTTGTAGAAAAGAAGCACAATATCAACCACCACAGGGAACATTCGATGGTTTAACTACATACACAAAGGAATATACTGGTATGCAGTGTAAATCAGTAATATCCACATTTGTAAAACAATGGCTAGAATATTCATAATTTATCATTTTTACCCAAAAGCAAAAAGGGATGCTAAGTAGAATGAGTTAGTTTAAAGCCATTAATAAATCAAAACCAAAATCATTTCGTACAGGAATAAAGTAAAATGCTTAATAGTGAAAAATGTTTTCAATCATTTGTATTATCTATTACTACTAACATCATTTTGCTTGTCATACCGACCAATACAACAAAAGAGACACTTTAGCATCATATGGTATTACCATTGGTAGTATGCAAATCAAAGACTTTTCAACTAAAGGCTTTATGGTTTCCAAATATAATCAGGGTACAAATTTAAGTCCATTAGATGCTATGTGGTATTGTTAGAGTCCAGTAATCAGTCATACTTCCGCGGAACTTGTGAAGCTGCAACAATAACAAATTTTATCTACTTAAAAAATATAAGTAGACACAGTAGAAAACTAAACATTTTGTCTGTTCTGATAAACTTTATAGTGAAAGATATCTTGAATTCTCTAAGTTTACCAGCTTGATCATAACCGGATGGTGATCTGAGGTTATATAAGCTTCTCGCTTTGTTCTCACGTCTTCCGTGGATCATTCAAACCCGTATTGATGCGAATGTGATCGATCTGGTTCTTTGTAGTGTGGTTTGATGAAACCCGTGTATCTTTTTGTATGCATTTGTGGAGAAATGCAGTGCCACCTATAACCACTTTGTTGAAGGCGCATAAATTTGCGAATCCTTTCTCCCAGTATATATCGTCCCATGATATCCTCATACCTTGTGCTGTCTATTCCGACTTTGTCGTTTTGGTCTCCCATAAGGATGGCTAGGTCCTTACTTTCCTGAGCACTTCTCTACAGTTTATTGTAGGCTATCATAAAATCGATCTATATTTTCTTCTTCGCTTTCATTGGTGGATGCATAGCACTGGATAATATTCATTTTGATCCCCTCCTTCTTTGTTTTGAAGAAGTCTTTTTAATGCTCCTGTATTCTGAACCGGTAGTAATCAGAGAAGGGTTACAGGTAGGTTTAAATGGTAAAGGAAGTTGATTTAATTTAAAAGGATATTAGTTAATATTTGAACGAATATTTTGACAGAAATTGGGCGCCGAATATTCGTAAGGCATTATTTCTTAATATGTTATCTGGAGTAATCTCAGCGATTGAAATCCAAACAATTCTAGTGTTTCATCCAGAATACTTTCCTAAACTTCTACAGGGTAGTAATCAAAATCAAAATTATCAAAGAATATAATAATGTTTAACAACCATGTAGAATCTACACTAACTGCTTATTCAATCATATTTAGAAATTGACTTTATTAAGAAAGATAACATGATTCAATGAAATATGGATCGTTTGAAAAGTACATAATATGAAAAAGAGTATATACGTTTTGTTAGTATTGTGTAGGAAATTAGAATAGGGCATATATGAAGGCTAGTATTTTCCCAGTCGAAATCACGAGTCGACTTAAGCTAGACTACCATTCAAAACCTGAAAACTCTAAACGGGCGTTTTGTGAGACTCGTCAGCAGTGCACATCCATGATCCCGCATGCGGAACTCTCACCCAGGACGTTCGGTCTCGTGTTCGAACGCTTAACCTCTAAATTACGAAGCCAGCACAAAAGTTAATTCTACTATTTTAACATCAAAATTATGTACTTGACGATTCACATTTTACATACACATCGACGTTTTAAAAACATTTTCAACTTGTACTTTTAATTTTGCTTTTAAATAAACAAATGATTAATATTTATTTTCAGAAGGGGTTTGTGGAGATTTTAGAAATTTTCACAGATTTAAATCATGAGTCAGTTGAAACTAGACCACCATTGAAAACCTGGAAGCACTGGACGGCCGTTTCGTCCTAGTATGCGACTCCTCAGCAGTGCGCATCCGCGATCCCACACCACGCGGGGCTGAGGAGTCGCATACTAGGACGAAACGGCCGTCCAGTGCTTCCTGGTTTTCAATGGTGGTCTAGCTTCAACTGACTTATAATATTTATTTACCAAATATTAACTTTTAATAAGTTGCACATGTACACACATCCAGTCATTTTCATATTATGAAGAAGCTTGGACCACATTACCAGGAGAACCGTTGAATTTACTTCAAAATTCATTCACTGAGATTCTACAAATACTTTTTTTTCAATCATTTCTCATCAGGCACTCTACAATTATCATATCCAAATGAATAAACCATAAAATTGGCCAAATTTAAGGCAGTGTACATCATTTGGAAATTGTAATATGTGGATTAAGAATTCTTGTTTGTTACATAAAATCAAATCAAACCGTTAATGTTGGGACTGACTAATATAAAGTGTTAAATATGGTCATCATGGGGAGAGACAGAAAATAATGGAATAGAAATAGGAGATTACATAATATGTAGAATAATATGAATTAGGTCAGATATAGTAGATTTAGGGGTAGGTATTGAATAAATTCCTCGAAAAAAGGTTATCAAGAGTAAAGATAATAATAATAATAATGTTTGGGGCATAAAATGAACATTATGAAAAGAGCAAGAACAAAGATTCTAACAGAATAGCATGAATTCATTTTATTTCGTAGGTTCTCGTCAGCTGCTTACAACCTGTGATATTTAAAAATCATAATTACATAATGGGTTTAAATTGCTTACTGAATATTGTAAATACATACCTAATGTGAGAGAATATTCTACAACATTAATTGTGATAACAGTTCAAAAGTGGGTTAGAAACAATCGATTACATAATGAATAAACATTGAAGGAATGTAGTGAGTAGAGTTCAGTTGAAAGATTATTAAACTGAAAGATAGTTGAAGAAATAAAATAGAGTTAATGATGTAATAAATGCAAAACGGAAAAAAGTTTTTATGGTGCAGTGAAGGGATATATTTGTCACCAGGGCAAGGAAAGATTAACCACCATCTCCTTTTGAATACATAGGTCAGGTTTTTGACGCCTGATGGCAATGGCTTCAGCAAACTGGAGTTTGGCTACTTACTAATCACCCTGATGTCCTGTATCAAGGAGATGTTTGGTGATTGCACTGTTCAGAGTTTTTCTTTCCCTTGTTCTAAAACTTTTTGGAACATGTTCAAAGAATCTAAGGTATGCTCTCCTTTCAGTTCGGCCGATGTAGCTGCTTTGGCAGGTACACGTAAATTTATAAATACAGTTGCCGGTAACCTGAAAGGGTTGCTTGTCGATCTTTGATTGGGTTATTGAACATGTTGTTTTATAGAGAATTAAAAGTTTAGCAGCCGGATATGTTCTGGCTAGCGCTGTATTCAGTCTCTTGTTGATAATTTGTGCGACGTCATCACCTTTAAAGTTAAGATTTATATATACAGGCTTTTTATTGACCATAGTTATTACCGTCTTCTTTTCCTTGGGCCTTTTATATTTGTCAATAAACTTTTGTGGATAAAAGTTTTCTTTTAGACATTTTTCTACGTTCATTAATTCTTCTTCCAGTTTGTCGATGGTACATATCTTTTCTGCCCTGTAAAACAGTGTTTTAACCAACGCCTTCTTGTAACTAATTGGACAGAAACTATTGAAATTCAGGTAGAGGCCATTCCGATTACTTTTTCTATAAATTGAACGTTGGACTGTCCCGTCTTCACTGCGTTTTATGGCAGCATCAAGAAAGTGGAGCATGTCTTTGTGTTCGTGCTCCATAGTAGAATGTATGTTAGTATGGGCGTTATTGAAGAATTTGAGCAGGCGGATCGCATGTTGTTTATTATTACAGATGATAAATGTGTCATCCACATATCTGGAGTATTCCGTTGTTTCACTAATTGCCTGTTTAAGTATCGTGATTTCAAGATACCACATAAAAATATCTGCCATAATTGGACCTAGTGGACTACCCATTGCTACGCCATCGACTTGGCGATATATTGTGTTGTCGAATTGGAATTGAACATCTGTTGTACATATAAGTAGTATTTTTTCTAATTCTGGGGCTGGTAAAGGTAGGAGATCATCATTCTGACAAATTATATCAATAGTTTCAAAAAGTGGTATATTGGTGAACAAGGATGTTACATCAAAGAGACCATGAACTTGTCGTTAACATTCGTATGATTTAGTCTATCAGCAAACTGGAATGAATCTCTTAACGTATATGTTGCTAATCTACGACGAATCGGTTCTAGATTTTTCTGCTAACCAGCGTGCGACTTTATGATATGGTGAGTTGATCATTGACAGGATAGGTCTAAGAGGAACGTCATGTTTGTGAACTTTTGGTAAACCATAGATATGAGGTAGACGTGAACCACGTAGTTTTAGATTGTTGTAAGTAGAATTATCAATCATTTTCTTTTTTAGGAGTTCTCGAAGCATGCCTGTGATTTTTGTTGTTGCATTTATTACATCATTGACTCTATTTTATTTTTTCAACTATCTTTCAAATTATTATCAGAATGGGTTTTGTGGAGATTTTAGAAATTTCACAGATAGAAATCATGAGTCAGTTGAAGCTAGATCTTTCAAATTAATAATCTTTCAACTGAACTCTACTCACTACATTCCTTCAATGTTATTCATTATGTAATCGATTGTTTCTAACCCACTTTTGAACTGTTGTCACGAATAATGTTGTAGAATATTCTCTCACATTAGGTATATATTTACAATATTCAGTTAGCAATTTAAACCCATTATGTAATTATGATTTTTAAATATCACAGGTTGTAAGCAGCTGACGAGAACCTACGAAATAAAATGAATTCATGCTATTCTGCTAGAATCTTTGTTCTTGCTCTTTTCAAAATGATAAAGGGAACTATGTGTATAAAATGAACATTAATCAGATTACGTCACTAACTAGTTAATAATTAATCTAAGTCCCCTGAATGTATTAGGTTTACCTTTTGAATATAAGACAACCGTGAGCGTAGAGAATCTTCTGTTTCATAATGGTGGATCGCATGAGAAAAGGATTTTAGTGGGCTTTTTTACATCTGGAAAGCTGGAATTGTTGGATTAGTGTTCTTAACGATTAACTGTTTACTAAATCAACTGATTTACTATAAAACCATTGCATTAAATATATATATATATTCCTTTTATTAACCCAAGGAAAATCTGGTCAGCTAGTTGTTCCAGTTAAACCAACTATTAGAAAAGGTTCCACAGCTAAATTTGATGGTGAAGCCACCTATACTGGTAAGCAGAACCTATTTAAATATAATATACTTTATTTATAAATAACACTATTCAGTTTCTCTCATTGGTAGTTCACATAACTGAATTAATTGATTAAGTGTTGTAAAAACAAGTAATTAGGACAACAAGCTCAGTGGAGTCAGAACATAAAAGACTAAAATAACCATCATTAAATCCTATACAGTATAGGTCATTCGTCAGAACAGAAACTAACCAATCATAAGACGAAATTAAGTAGAAAATAAGGATATGGAATTATGATGAACAGTCATGGAAAAAGAGAGAAATGTCGATTTAAGTGCGAAAGAAATAGTGACAGTGAAGTAAAAATTGGACTTGTAAAACAGTACATACATAAAATGTGAGTATACTAATAAGATGGTTGAACATATTTATAATTCCACTCTATGCCTTCCTCTCTTGCTTTAAACGTTACTGAAAAATTGTCAGTAATTAGGACAACGTGAGACATAAATGAACTCTGCAGGCATTGATGCTTAATAAATTACTCTTGTGAGCTCAGATATAGGGAGATAATGAGAGAGTAATTTGTTTCCCACCAATCAGAAATGGTATGTTTCCCATGTAATTCTCAAATATGTTTACTGTATTTTCATTTGTGCACCTGATTACACTTTGATCTTGTCATAAATGTTATGTTCATTCGTTCTGGTTCTATTTTTTTTTATTGAGCAGTATTAAAATGTAGTGGTTGAAAGGTCGATGCTTAATAGAGAAATAAGAGTATATAATATAGTATGCACAGAAATGTATTCAATTAACTTAACCAATAAATGTTATCAGTCAATAAACATTTACATTCACTTTGTTACCATGACACATTGAGATAAGAAATATTCACTTTGTTTACTTATTCGAGAATGTGATAGGCTAAGGGTCACAATTAGAAAATACATAACATGTCATTCAGAAACTAATTCATTTTAACATTTATTTCATTATACAAATATCAAATTTACTTCTGACTTGATCAATTTTTCTAAAACATTCTACAACTACAAAGTTAATTGTAAACTTATAAAGACTGTTTATTTTCTGTTCTTCAATGAATCTTTCAAATGAAACCTTTTTTTTATTACATTTTCATCTTTATGGTTTGATCCGTCATTCAAGAGTCGAAGATATCAAGAACTAGAACATCGGCCAGGAGGCCGGCAGTTTTTTTTATGCCTTCATTATACTAGACTTACCACTTAAACACTTTCAGTTCTAAAGAAATTTGTACCACTGTTTAGATACAGTTAAGATATATGGTACTGATTAAGAACTTTGATGGTAATGAAACGAATTATCTCATTAGTTATTTCTTGACGACACACTTGACTGTATAATAGTAGTCTGTCAATGGCTTGTTACAAGTTCGATCTTCTATCACGTCAATAGTACGCAGATATAAATACCGAAATTTTGAACAAAACACACATTTACTTGTTTACTATTCATTGGCAGTGCATCTCCAATTGATAATTGTCTTTAATAGAAACTATTTTAAAGTTAAATGTTTGTTCTTAAAAGCTCTGTTAAATTCGAATGGTCTCATCATGATTCTTAATTATCGTTCTAAAAATAGTAGATTAGGAGCATGAACACCTTTTTATGATTGAATTTGATCGAAATTTATAAATGTTATTGTTCACAAAAGTATTATGCCGCCATTGATATTTGAAAACTACATTCAGATCAATATTTGTCTCTTTTTACCTTCATGTCGTATTTCCTACTTGGGAGAATCTTCAACGCTATTAGTCCGTTGTGTCTTTCAGAATGCAATTTTGTAACGCTTCCCGACTACAGTTCTGTGCTGTACAAATACGTCTGATTTGTGTCTGTTGTTATCGCTCGTGCTTGCGGACTATAGTTCCCCGTTCCAAACTTCGACTTCGCTCTCTAGTTAGCGGGGCCGGGACGTATCACGATATCTGGTTTATTGGTCTTTGCTCACAGAATCTTTGTTCCGTTCGTAGACTAGGTGAACTCGTAATCGCTTCAAACATAGCCTATTTGAATTATTGAACTTAGAATTCAGGTTTCGCTCACTCAAGGCTCATCAGATAAATGTACCTTCATTTCAGGATGCATTTATTCCCCCCAAAAAAGACATCGAAATTTATTCCTAAATAAATGCAATCGTATCATGCGAAATATTACGAATAAACATATCATCTATTAAGCAAGCTAGTTGTATTTAAACTCAATAGGTTAGCGAACAATATATTGATGTTTGGAACGAATGGTACTTTGTTCGATACTCAAGGTCGATATTAATTCTTTGATACAGATTCGACCAGCTAACGAGTCCCTAATGAGACAAAATATGTAACTTGTATTCTACTGCTAACCATATTTCGAATTCAATAAATATTATCCGTATAACATCATTGGATAGTAGGATACAGTATTTACGCTTTGCCTTGTATAAGTCGGGAAAAATGGATGTTCTGGCACTCCTACGTTGATTTCCATGCTATGATCTGAACCCAAATTTACCACTTTAATCTCGTGTCATCATCCAGGCTATTGACTCATGATAGCCATTACGTAGCTCAACAGGTTTGTTTGTTAAAAATCACAAATATCCATATGTCCCGATTGATACAATTCAAGTGCCCATTCAGAACGCACATGTATTAATAGAATATGATGAAACTCAGTTCTGCATTAGTGAATAGTAGTTCACAAAATTAAGAACGGTCTCATTGATAAATGTAAATTATAAATGTATTTCAACTTTATTTGTTTTCTATTTTAAATATTAACTTACTCCTTTGACATTCCAAATTACATAGCTGACTATAGACCATGGAAATTGGAAAGACGTGAACTTGCTACAGGTAGAGAATCGAATTGGCCGAAACCTAATCTACCATTTTCTGGAACTCCCACTTATACATCTGATTATGTTGCATATAAGTGAGTTAGGGCTTCGGTTAGCATTAGTTTATATTTTTGTCTTTAAGAAATTAATGAGGGTGAAACTGGTGACTTGGATGTTGTTTGGTCCAACAATTACACAAAATGAGGTCACAAAATTGTTATTTGCCAAACTTTTGGTAAATCAATCATAGCTCCCTGAAATCCCTAAAATCTGTACTGATAATCTCGTCCTATTACAATTTCGTTGTTGAAAAAAACCTTTCAGCCTATCAGAAGTCAGGCACTTTATCACCTACACCGTTTCACATATTTTTATTAATCTTAAGTGTTTTTCTGGAATCATATCCATAGAAATTACTCCCAATTACGATTTATCACCAATCATTCGGAAATCGAATCAACGTTCAAGACACCGCATATGTTCAATTTATTGTGAATACAAGACTTTAGTGGCATTTCTTGCTTTTCATCGTCTTTGAATCGTTCATAGCCCTCACTGAAATGCTCGACTCCCTTTAACAAAGATAATTCTTTTAGTTCGTTAGTGTGCATTAATAACTATAAGAAATTCATGAGTTTCTCGAGATGTTTTTTGAGTTCCACAAAAAAATCATAATAACCTATTAACAATATACATGTGTGCATCACATTAATCTTTTCGAAGTACAGTCAAAAGAAAAACATTCCTTTAGAAGTAGTATAACAGTACATTTTGAGCACAGATGGATAGTGACCAGCAGTATAATTCAGAACGCGCGTTTCGTCTTATTTAGGACTCGTCAGATAAATATATGTGCATCCAGAAGTTGAACTTTAGTATCGTTCTCTTCCAAATCCGGCCACCATCCAACTCCGCTTGAAATGTTTTGTGACTTAATAGTAATATCGAGACAATCAGAACAGGATGGATATATATCAAAAGAGATCGATCAATTGCAGTCGTAACCATTAATTGGAAATTCCAAACAACCAGTATATATGAACTAGAACAATACAATCCCAAAGGATCTAAACAAGTTTGTTAGTTAATTAGTCACTTAGTTTTCACTACATAACTAAAGTAAGAAACTGATAACGCTGATTTGATTAGCATTTGGCAAAGTACTAAGTACACCAATCAAGTTTACATTGCATGAGTTATAATCTGTAACCAGCATTTTTCTCTGTTTGAAGGCTCCTGCACGTGCCCATTTTTTTATAATTCACCTCGGTTATTTAGGAGTTTTTAGATTAAAATCTCATCTCGGTCGATCTAGTCTACTCCTACTTATTTATGTAGGTAATGATTATGCCTAATACATGCAGCCATTAGCGGTCCTCATGGTGACTCGATCTAATCAATAGACTTAGCTTACTTACACATAACCTCAACGTAATGATTCTGCCACACTCACAAATAGAATGAAATGTCAAATGCTTCGGTTATCGTAAATTAAATGCGTATTCAATCGTAGATCCCTTTGAATGGTATTATACATATTCTGGAAAACTTATTATCTAATTTATATGGCAATGCTGTTGTGCTTTCTGACCAATAAAGCCGTCATAAGATTTGGTCGTTACTTTTGAACAACAAATAAAAAATATAAGAGTTGTACTTAAATATTTACATTCATCCGTCGTCCAGAAAATCATATTTTTTTATGTGATTGAGATCATGTTTACTGTGTTGATACGCAACTGTTGATAATCAGATTAATCCATAAAATACAACTTTTACTACAGGTTTTGTAAGCGATGGGGATGGCAGGAAAAAAGTTAGGGGAGGCCAAAGCAAAACGTGGCATCAGTGCTTGAAGTCACTAGCTTCTAGTCTTAGCCATGTTGGTAGAAACAGACTACTTGGTTGGGGTCCACGCGATTATCGTAACCAATGGTTGAAGACTATGGGTGACATGGCTCAGGATCGATCACAATGGCGTAGGTGTATACACTCTCTGTTTTCCCTCAAACTATTAAATTAAAATCACTTCGTATCTTTCTTTCTACGAACTAGCTCTTTCTTCTTGTAACATGTTCTCATATGCAATCTTTCTTTTATATATTACCACCACCATTGAATTAACTATTTCTATGAATCCGGTGTTCATCTTGCTGTACTAATGAGGTATGGCAACTTGAACCGATGCATATATGTGCCTGGTCGTACGTTGTAGCTGACTGACTGAAGCGATTTCAACCTTTATAGGTACAAGTTAAAGCATTATTAAGAATTGATTCATGATTCAATTCAGCATGAGTTTTCACTAGTAAAAATTTTCTCATACTTATTAGTTGTTATAGGCTACATAAGATTAAACTTTTAATTTATCTAAGCATTTTATGTGTTACCAAAGGAATCTATTTCACCTCTACATGGTAATATAAACGTATAACACATATATTTCTTCAATTATTTTAGTGCAAAACCTCCAATCAGTTGTAAACCAATGCATTGTTTCATTGAAAATCAAACACCATTTCCAGATAGTACTGATTATCGTGATTCATATCGTACGTTAGATTTATCAGAACGAGCTCGTCCAATTAAAAATGTTGAGCATACACAAAAAGTTACTGTACCAATGGAACATTTATCAACACATATGCATGATTATTATTGGAAAACTATGAGTAAGTAATATTCTTCAATAATGCAATGAGAAGACGTAGTTTATCAGAATTATGTGATATATTTGCGCAATACATTTCGAACAATCTGATCACACATTACATACTTGTTAAGAACATTTATATATGAAAAATTAAAAGGTCAACTAGACAGGTTAAGGGTAAGTCATAACAAAGGAAAAATATTAAAGTACACAAAAACAAATGTGATTACCACTCTGGATAGTAAATCAGTACTACCAGGGTAGGTTAAGTGTAAGTACAAATTGTTTTTGAACACATAAAGGGGGTTTCAATTTCTGTATAGCCAAGGCTTCAATAAACCTTAGTATACGTCCTTGAAGGCTATTGTACAATACAACAAATGCTGATTTGATATCAACCTTATGACCCGTTTCAATCAAATGTTTCGCAATGGATGATGATGTCTATCTATCCTGTGATCTTATTTCACCATTGGAATTCATCTGATTCTGCAACCATTTTGGTATATGTTCACCCACCCTTAATTGCAAATCACGATTGCTCCTCCCTACATACGTGTTTCCACACATATTCTTCAATTTATTGTTTATCAATAATAATATTGTGATTATGAATTTAAGTCACCCATTAGCATTATTATTGTTGTTATAAATATTGAGATATTCTTTTCTGAAATATTCTTTACTAAAGAATACTGATTAATCTACACACAGGGAAAAAAAACCCAAGTTGAACTCAGCTTTTCGATGTGTGCAAATGTGACAGTGTACACACAATATTGCCTATCTACAAGACTACCTAATTCTGTAAACTAATCAAAGTTACAAATAATTTATCACCTTAAGTAATTCAAATACATAGTTCATATATCAATACAGGCTGATACATTTATTTCTAAGACATTTGTCTATCAAATGAGAAACAACCATTTTAATTCAATAGTTTAATGTAGAATTATTTGTCAGTAGACTAAGTGTTAACAAGAAAAATAAATTCCAAGTTAGTTGTATACTTAAAATTGTTCCACTAAAGCCTATATGAATATTCGATATAAATAATTCACTATCAAACATAATTTATATTTTTCCCTAATTAACTAGCTACTTAAAACGATTTAAACTTTGTGGTCGAATTATTTTTATCTGAAAAATATGGATTTTGTGTAGATCAATATAGATAGGTGGATGTCATGTTTGTCTATTAATAGGTGTCAATCAAATTCTATCAATCATCCTTCACTGTATGACCACTAGATTGAGTGGATAAAGATCTCTGTGAGTTATCTTTGGTATTGAGTCTCTGTAAGCTACCGACAGGAAAAACTTCAACTGAGTTCTATTCGAGGTGGCAATCTACAGAGGACTGATGCCTTCGTGATTCCATTCATTGTTGTAAGGAACCTAAAATCTAGCACATCTGTGCGTCGATTACAGTTACTACCCCACATCAGCACAGTGAGATGCCAGGATAGTATATGTAGTAACAGTAATAGTAGTAGTAAAAGAGACATTAAGCACACAAGATTTGAATCGAGGGAAAACATATTTTCGGGCAAAAGTATACGATATCTTTAAACCTCAAGATTCAAGGAAAGACGAAAGTGAACTTATGTACGCCATCGCCACCAGCTCTGAGTAACAACACCCAAAGTTTCCAACCATTGATAGAGATAATTGTGTGGGCTCTAATCAAGTTATTTAAATCTACTGACACAGCTTAATCTAATAGTCATTAATTTTATAAACCGATGTGACGTTTTGCTCTTAGCGCCCCAAGCTTTCTTTCAACTCAATCCTAAACCAGCTAACTTCATCCATTCGGGTAGGCAGGGATTAAATATATATAGCACATTCTTTAACCACCTCAGTCGATGAAAGTTCCTAATCACATCAACCGATTCATCACCTTTCTGTAATACCCTATACCTTACCTCGAGAATGTTCAACTGGTCATTGTATAAAACATGAGCAGTGCTTTGAGGCACCAATGACCATAAATCTAAATCCTACACAAATCTTCTACTTTCATAGCCCTAGAGTAATAAAGATCGAACTCCAGCGCACTTCACTTCCTATTGACAGCACAAGAGTTGATGCAAACCAACTCTTAGAATTTAAAGAAAACGAAATGAATTTCAAATATACTTTCGTTGTCTTCCAAGGCGATTAAAATAATACATTTCTTCAATATCTTCACCAATTGGTCATCTAGGTCGACAAGCGAATCTCTTGATAGGAGATCAACTCCTGAAAAATCATAAGATGAAATCATTATATCTAGAAAATGTCTACGAGAAAGTTAAATAAACATGTAGCAAATGGACAGCCCTGACAAACATCTCCTGAAGTCATTGATTCCGTTGACAGTTTACTACAAGCTCCGACTCAAGCAGTACTCTTCGAATAGCGTGCCTATATAAGGTCAATTAACTTCGTTGGTACATCATTCAGTAACAGACACTGCTAAGATGCCTGAAGATCTGTGGAATAGATCCCCTCCTTAAGGTCAAGAAGTAAAACTATGGTTGGAAATTATTAGACCTGTCTATTTCCCAGAACCTGATGGAGGGCAAATATTTGATCTACATAGCCATATCCATTTCTAAAAGCAGAGTGATTTTCATAGTTTCGCTCATCAAGAGCCCTAATTATAATCTTTGCAGCTAATATTGTATTAGTCAAACTGATTCCTATGTGTGGATCACACCAGGGCTTCCCTCCCTTCTTATGAACTACAATGATCAGCGATGACAACCAGTTCAGTGAGATCGCATCCAATCCCAAGGCTTGTATATCCATCAATCTAACTACCAAAACCTCACAACTATTACCCAGAATTTCTATTATTAACCCATTTGGGCCTTTTGCTCTCCCTTACTTTATACTAGCTATGGATTTTGTAACTTCATTAAGATTTGGCGGGCTTTTGTTGACATCTCAAGTTGTTGAGTAACAGTACAAAACTAGGTGGTTGTTTGAAATACGTTAAACTGTTCTTCAAAGTGTTTCGTCCATAGTTCCAATCTCGGACTGAAAGTAAATCATTGTCCAGTCGTTTGCCGAAATGGTGCCGCCAACACTAGAACTTATATCACAGTGTTCCCAACTGACCTATAGGAATGAGTTACATACGTATACTTGATGATATTAAATAACTCTATAATTTCTGCATATAATTAGATTTGGTCTTACTATTAATTTATGATTTCTATTGACTCTTTTTGTCATTATTTCAATCAGTACCATCAGCCTCATGTAAACCGGAATATACGGGTATTCAAAATAACGAACCATTTCATAAAGACACAACTCATCGAATTGACTATAAAGCTTGGGAACTAACTGATAGAACTGCGCCAATTTCGGCTAATCATGCCTCAACTTATCCCGAACCATTAGGAAAAATGTGTTCTGATACAACCTATAACAAAGATTATATACCGTTTGGATTGCAGAATCGTCAAGCAATTCATCAAGTAGATAAAATCGGTCGTGGCGTTGAACTACCACCATTTCAGGTATATATATTATGATAATTAATAGTTATATCATTTCTCTTCGAAGAATAATGATCCTTAATATGTTGTCGAAACGCTACGTGGAGACCATCTAATTATCCTAGGTGGTATTCATTACGGATCGGCATTAGTTGGGAGTGCCAGTAAAAACCAGCGAGAACTGGAAATTTATTTCGAAGAGTTTACAATAACTACCACACTTGATACTAAATGAAGAACGTTCATATCTCATACTGGATAATCATCAAGTTAACGAATTTTGAAGTAAGAACAATTAGATTCCAAACCAGTAGTCTAAAGGTTAAGCCCTCACCTATAGACCAGAAAATCCCAGGTTCGATCACTTGACATTTTTTAAGGGTAATCTGTTGAGAAATCCCATACTGCATGAAAAATCCTAATCAGTGCTTCAGGATTTTCAATGGTTCTATGGGTAATGTAAATCCACGACGACTATCATAATCAACTATTGAGAAGTACTTTTTCCATACTAATACGAGTAATTGTTTTGATTTAATCAAAAGTGTGCGTATTGGAGTTTTTAAGATCTAATTTCTCCCTCTCTGTTACTCACAGTTCAATAGTCTCGTGATCTTTCTTTTACTAGAAACGTTCATTTACTTACGAATGATTTTATCATATGTATGCTCGCTTTTCTCTTCACAAACTGCTTCAACATAACTGGCCTCTTAGTTAACGTTGAACGATCAAACTAAAATAGTTCATTTAATTCTTAAACTCTTGATTTTAACAGTTGACAAGAATCTCGCTAAATTCATATGACCTCCATAATACTGATCCGTTTTTTTGTAAAAATGAATGCAAAATATTATTTAATATCAGAAGAGGTTTTGTGGATATCATAATAATTTTAATAGTTGAGATCATGAGTCAATTAAAGCTAAACCACCATGGAAAACGTGGAAGCACTGGATGAACGTTTCGTCCTATTGTGGGAATCGGCAGCAGTGTGTATCCACGATCTTGCCACGCGAGATTCCAACCCAGAACCTAACAGTCTCGCTCACGAGAGCTAGGAAATCATAGAGTAGTTTTCACAACTGTTTTTATTTAATTTTAGGCAAGACAATGTGGATCCTTGTTGTTTAGTTGCAGTCAGTTTCTGAAACAAATATGAACCTAAAATTACTTGTGGCTTTTGTGGTTTCTTATTTTGTGACAAGAATATTTGTCTTAATGTTATTAAGAATAAAATATAAAATAAGTTATCTTCCTGTTATTGTTTCAGAAACATGATAAATATATACATGCTTTGCTTCTTAAATTAAAGTGAAAAGTTTTTTCAATTCCAAATAACAGTTTCATTTATTTATCTACTATTGCTATTATAATTAGGGAGTTTCTGATTATAAAGACAGTTATCGGTGTTGGACAATTGAACCACCAGTCAAAGGTTTAGGTAGAGAATCAACTTATACTATACCGAATGTAAAATTTGAAGGTAAAAGTACCACAAATGATCATTATGTACCACATTTAAATTATCGACCACCGGAATCTTTCAAACCACATGGTCAAGTTACAGCTAATCAAACACCATTCGATGATGCAACTTTATATCGTATGGAGTATACACCGAAACATTTGGAACCTTGCCCAGCTAGTCTACTTAATACTGGACTAAGCAAATATGTTTATGCTGAAACGGTATGTTTAAATTTGTCTTTATTATACTCATCACTATCTTTTGGTAGTTATTCATCTACAGATCCCATATTTATACGAAGTATTATTGAATAATGAATAGAAAGTCATTTTGTTGGAGGAATATATCTGATCCTCTAAAATAAAAATATCAAGACAATAATACAATTAATGGGTTTTCATTCTGATGAAAAACATTCCTTACTTTTACTGTTTTCATACATAAATTTTAAAGATTTATTATACTTAAGTGAAGAATGCATTTCCTTCTAATATTCTCACCCACCAGACTTGATTTGCAATACGCTCATGCTTATATAAGCCTATAAGGTCAGCCGTTATTTTTTTATTATTTATTTAAACACATAAGCATTAGTACAAGAGGGCACCATTCGATTTGTATGAGAGCCGGGATACCGACCGGGTGCCCAAACTGAAACAGGTGGTTTCCTTGGGAGACCACACCTGGAGCCTTTGACCTAAAAGTCTAATACACAAGGCAGTGGAGCAATGTTAGGAGATACAGTCTCATGGTGGCCGGTGACTCGGCTAAAACGCCGGACATTCGCTTTTCGTCTTCCCAATATCGTAAACAACACCCCTGCCATGAGAAGGCAGTGGGTAGGACTTCCCTGACAGTGATTGTATACGCGTGGTCATGTGAAAGCTCTACGACGGAGGAGAGAGGACTCTCCTCACTCTCGATCGTACCAGGGCATTCAAGGGCAAGGTCCGCCGTAAATACAAGCTGATTAAATTTAGTCAAGTTGTAGTCCTTCAGTTAGTCGGTCAGAATACTCCTGGTACAAATCTCCTTTGGCCAAGGTATCATACCCAATGAGCTCAAAGAAATGAATTTGAGAACATGACTAGCAAAAAAGTCGAAACGATAAGTTATTGATGATAATCAGAATAACCGAATGTAGGGATTATGGTTAGAAAAGAAGGAATAAAAATTTATTTATGAAAAATTAATTGAACTTAATGTCTAGAGAAGGACAAAAAGTTAATTCATCTGTTTTATTGCATTAGATTCAGATCTATGTCACTTAGCGTCTTCGATAACTGATCAAAGACATCGTGTAGGTTATAACCAGGTAGTAGGGATCGTTCTAAACGGGTCAGTTCATAGGGAAAGATCGGGATCAGACTATGGGGCTCCATATTAAAATATATCATCGATCCATAAAGTTGTCGACTGTCAGATTTAGCTGACTAAGTATATAAAATGACTTTCGGTGACATGATACGACAGATGCGTTCACTAGTTATCTTTGCTTTCAAAGTGGGTTTACAGTTTTTTCTGTAAATTAATTTTATTCAGTTTTTATAAAGTTTCTTTCCTTTAATTTTAATATTAATGGTGGGGAACATTTGTAACTCAAGATGAAGAATTTGAGGTTAGATCATCGAGCCATCCAGTCGACAGTGTAATGAACGAAGACTTGGTAGGGTAAATCAATTTATTTATGGAAAATTACACACGTGCCTATGTAAAATATGAAAATAGAATATTAAATACATCATTTGAACATCTTTTTCGAGTTGTCTTTTACATTATCCATTATTCTTTCAATCCTGTTCATATTCCGATTTCTCTCTGTTTTCCTTCCCCTTCTTTTCTTTTCATCCTTCTGTTGATAAGTATTTCACTTTTAATTACTGCAACATACTACTTATATCTGTCCGTATAAGTAGTGGATACTTTAAGCGTACAAAATATTTCCCAAATTGATGTCAATATTGTAACTCTGTTTTAATTTCTTCATTTTCTAACTCGTCCTTATGAACTGAGTTTAACTGAATTACTATCAAAAAGCAGAAAGTAGTATACAGCTGTCTCATTTCAACTTGGCTCTAAAGTTGGTAATGTGTATCATGGATTTCAATCCAATGGTTTAAATGGAAATACACTCACCTAGATCCCTGGAGGTCTTTAGTTCTGAATTAATTAAATCAAATTGTCCCGTATTTATTCACTTATACAAAGTTAATTAAATTCTGACATGAAATTTACTTGCTTACATGATAGCTATATTGGGTTTTTTCTTCTCAAAACTATGTCAAAACTATTGATAATTAATATTCTATGATAACAATGGAATAGATTACGTAAATAAGTGAAAAGTACAAATTGGTAGTGTCATGACAAATGTACTAATTGTGATAAGAATAATAAAGCCTTGAATCAATGTTACATAATAGGAAATAGGTCAATGATTGAAAAAAATACAGACACTGAAATAACCTTCATAAAAATTCCAAGATTACATAATAAGAAGTTTCACAAGTTGCAATCATGAGTCAGTTGAAGTTAGACCACCATTGAAAACCTGGAAGCACTGGACGGCCGTATCGTCCTGGTATGGGACCCCTCAGCAGTGTGCATCCACGATCCCGCGCCACGCGGGGCTCGAACCCAGGACATACTGGCTTCGCACTTAACCACTAGACCACTGAGCCGGCATCCAACGGTGTTAATGTCTAACTTCAATCAATCCACGATGCTGCGCCACCGTATTCAGATAATTGGACCGTGAAACGTATATTTGAAAGAAAAACAAAATGATAAGAGGGGGTGAAGAAAAATAAACGATTTACATTCTTAAATACAATAAATAATGTTGAATAAATATTGAAGTCAATCTGTCTACGTAACTGTTTAATTTATCTATACACATTTTCAACTCAAATACAAATCTCCAAGATAATGTTTCTAAAATACTTAGTTGATGATTATTTTTTACTACCCTTTAACGTCAGTACGAGAATCAGTGAAAACAAGAAAGCATTGTATAGATGTTTGATCCCACTTTATTACTCTTCAACGGTCATAGTCCCCATGACGAGATACTATACCCACTGAGAATCATCAAACTTTGAAGAAGGTGTAGTGAACAAGAACACGGGTGGGGACAAACGGATGTATTTAGCGTAAAAATTACAGACTATTTCAACAATATCTGAATACTATATAGTAAATAGTCAATTTGCAAAATATTCATGCATCAAACCAAACTGGATTGTTTCTGTTGCGAACACCAATCCATTGTTTCCCATTCCATTGTTCATAGGTTTTCTTACAAATTCCATTATGTTCTCGCTCCATCTTTCTTGGTCTTCGCCATCTTTTGCTGCCAGACATTACATTCTTTTAACGCACGTTATACACTACTTATATCAATATAAGTAGTTCACACCACAAAGGTTCGAAAAGTTTATTTTTCTGGAGATTATTTGTACAAACAAAAAGTACTATTTAAAGTTCTTAAAGTCTCTACACAGTTTGTGAATGATTAAACCTAGGAAATTCGGAAATGAATAGAGACAAATATTACTTAATCCCTAATTAATATCAGTCAGTTTATGATGACAACTATAATATCAATTCGCTGAATAAATAAATAACTAATTAATTAAATTTTGTTTGAACCGTACACTTCAAAATGAACGGTATTAATTCATGTGAATAATTAACGCTTTCATAAGCACATGATAAAATAGTCGTCCTTAAACATAATGCCATAAACTGAAGATTAATTTCGGCTAAATAAACCAGTAAACATTCTCTATCTTATCATAGTCTTATAATAAAAACCATATTTTTCTGATTTTATGGTCAATAATCAGTTGATCGATTATATCCGTATTTTTCTATTCTTTCTTTTATCTACAGAGTGATACAGGACATGAAATTTATCGTAGAGCATCCAATTCTTCATCATTAACTAATGATCAATATTCTAAACAACATTTGATTACAATTCCAAATGAACCATTAACAGTAGCTAATTGAATAAACAAAACAAAAATATGAAATTCTCTTTATTCTTTCTATTTTTCCTTAGAGATATATAACACTTTTTTTAAAAAAAAAATGCTTTCATTAGTACTTAATTGTAATAGTGTTCTCTTTTCTATTGAGAGCTAATTAATAGTTTGTTTGTTTTTTTTTCTCAATGAATGGTAGACTTTACCTTTGAATGTTTTATATACTACTCAATGTTCCACAGTCCTATATTGTGTTTTAATCAACTTTGAGCAAAATTTATTTTACTGAATGATGTGGTTTTAGTGACTGATCATTTTATCACTTTGTTTTTTTTTTTATATTCCAGAGCACTTAATTTATCTTATTTATCACTTTTATTATTATTTTTTGTTAAAAATTGCGCCTTAAATCAAACGTCAATTGTTTGTTTGTTTGTTTTGTCCCAATTACTTTCACCACCCCCCCATTTTTTTTGTTATTCACTTTTTCTTTTTTTAGTTATTGTCATTTATTTTTTTTGTTTGGTTTTGAACTACTACCTGAAATATGAGTTTTAATCAGTTTTATTGACCAATATTTTCATAGATTATGGAAACATTTCAATATTTTATGATATTGGTCCAAAAAAAAATGTACTGCACAAAATCAAATTTCGAAAGTAATACACTTTTTAGAAAACTAACATACGTGTTCACTGTTACTGGCGTAATAATCATAATAATAATAATAGTCAGTAAACATCTTATTTATTATTTATTTTATTTATTTCAACACATAGATAATGGTACAAAGAGGCACCAAATACATATGCGCCACACAAATCTCATCCGATATGTGCGAGGGCTGTGATACTGCCCAGGTGCCCAAACCGAAGCAGGTGGTTTTCTTAGGGGGCCACACTCCGAGCCTTCGACCTGAGGGTCTGATCCACAAGGCAGTGGAGCATTGTAAGGAGGTGCAGTCCCATGGAAGCCGGTGACCAACAATTGGTTCATTCGACATTTGTTCCCGCAGGATACTGGAGCCCATGTGCACCATTGGTTTGGAATCCGGTTAAAGCGCCGGACATTCGCTTTTCGTCCTCTCATTTTCGTAAACAACACCCCCGCCACGAGAAGGCAGTGAGTAGGACTTCCCTGGCAGAGGCTATATACGCGTGGCCGTGTGAGAGTATTTCGAGAGGGAGAGCGAACTCTCCCCACTCTCGGCCGTACCAGGGCATTTGGGGGCAAAGTATGTGGCGGAGGTGGGATTCGAACCCACGCCCTGTTACGGACTGGTTTTATTTCAAAATTATTACTGAATTCAATACAGTTTTAGTCATTGGGTGTATATCAATTAGAAAATCTATTGAATATTACAAAGCAATAGATAAATATTATTTTTTTTTTAATTCGAGACCCCTTGTTAATTCTATCGAAGCGTCGAAGTAACCCCGATTGAGATACGCGCAAAATCGAAGTTCCAAAACAACGATTTGTTTACAAAAGCGGTTCTTTATTAAATGATACACAAAATTTAGTTACAAACCTCAACTTGTGAGGTGTCTAGGCGTTTAAACGCGTCGTTCAAGAATGAAAATAACAAAGGCTTCGATAGTCGATAGCTGTGTCTAAATTTGATAACAGTTTATGAACAACCGAAACTCGAACCAAGAGCAAACAATATGGAAACTGTTGCGTTTAAACAAATGCATAAAAATGTGGATAACCGTTACAGTAATTAAATTACAGTGATTATAATGATAAGTAAAATAAACGTTAAAGATATATGTGAACATTTCAGAATGTTACAGTACAACCTGAGTTACAACATAATTGTGAAAATTGTTGGGTATACAACTGCTTACTGAATATAAATAAGTAGTATAAACCAACATACAAAAGAGTGGTTAGGGAATGAGCAGGAAGAATGTAAAACAAACTTAACACCCCTTAAAATTTTGTTTTAACAACTTTGCATGAAATCGAACTCAGAATGTTCATATCTTATACTAAGGTCATAACAACCCCAAAATCACTCATGAGGTATCCAGTGATCAAACTTCAATCGCTTTACAGTATTGCATGACTGTTTTTTAGTGGCATCTGAGCTGGAATAGTCTCATTTCAATGTTTGAGAAATGTTCATAATCCTTCAGCTGAAGTCAGTAAATGATTCCACTGACTTGATCATAAGTTTGATTAGTTAGTGACACTAAAACATATTACAAATAAGTGATCAGTGTTACGCTATCCAAATATGTAAGTCGTCTAGTTTCACCATAATTTCTTTCTTGTCTATACTGCAAAAGAACGGGGCATTATTAAATCAGAATTCATGCATATAGGGTAAAATTTAAACCTTCTAGAATACCATATTTGATTGAAGACTTGACCTGTGATTGTAAAGAATTTAAATCTAGGAAAAATAACGCTTTATGCAAATTTCAAATCAACCTAAATTTTAAATGTAGATGTAAATAAATAGTTGATTTGCCTAACAGCAGAATACATTGTCTAGTAGGTTTATACCGACCAAAATTTCAAGTGAAAATATTTTCAACTCATTGACCACTGACTTAAAACCATAATTTCTAACTATTCTGCTTCTTATTACTTACATTTCCATGATCAACACAGTATTCGCAAGCTACAAAGTTCAGTTGTCCACTTACTTGGTTAGTCAATATGATATTTAATATGATTATTATAATTATTATTAATGAGAATTTTACCGTTATTAATACTAACCACAGAATCTAATAAATCTTTATTTATAAATGGCCTGTAGGCATTTCAAATTGATAGTTTTAATAACTTATGTAAGAGTTTCAATTTTCAAATCACAAATACAGTGTGAACCCAACTGATTCAAGTAATTTATAAAGAGATCACTCTACTATATCCAAACAATAAAAGCTGAATAAAAGGGCCATTATTATTAACTATTATGAAACATATTTGTGGATTATATAACCGGATCGATAAACATCCTAAACCCACCAGTCAACTAAATGGAATTTTACTTTTGACAATTGTCTGTAAAACATATGATCTAAAAATTTCAAATTGTTATCTGAACGACTACACATAAGTTGATCAGTACAATTGATTGATCACTGGGTGGTGATCAATGTCTTGCTTGTCTAGTCCTTATTAGTGCAGATCGAATGCTATCGATTGACTGTGAAGCTCGGTGACACGAGATCGAATCCGCCAGGGAGCACCAGTTCCCTCAAGATTACAGGTACACCTTGCTGACGAGTGCCAAATAGCACGAAACCCGGGTCCAGGGTTTCCTGTTGACTACCTCCAACCACCATCTAAACATAAGTTGATCAATATAATGAACATAATCAATCAAATCTTTTCCTGAGTTTTAATTAAACTTTGTCCTTTTATTAATTTAGTTAGCGAATTGGTTCAATAATTAGTTGAATTCATTCGTATGAAATTTCTAGGTTGATAGCAGTCTTCTTTTTATAGACAAAAATTTGATAAAGTTTGCCTTATAAGCAAAGATGTATAGTGACCAACAACAGAATTAAGATATCGAAACAGTCTTCACAGGATATATATATGCCAATAAGAGACTCATCAGTTGCAGTCCTAAATAACAATGGGAAGATTCAAGTAAAACATCATTTGTAGAATGATTTGAATTCAATTATTTCAAACATTTTGATGTGAATCTTGACATAAAACTTCATTTTCTAGAGACGTATTCTTTGTGTTTTAAAATCATTTTTAACACAATTTTCACATTGATAACATTGTGAACATTCAGTCATTTGAATATTACTATTCAAAATTAATTTCTTGTTTATTTCTCATCAATATATTAAGCAATTACATATATTCATTATAAGTGAAAATTATATTTGAAATATTCTCAGCAATTGAAATTTAACTAATTCCAACGTTTCGTCCAGCTAACTTGTCTGGACTTCTTCAGGGTAATAGTCAAAATCAAAATTATCAAAGAAATATATAGCTTTTTAACAATGAAGATTATACTGTGTTAAACCAATCATCTTTGGATGTTGATGTTTTGTAAAATAGGATAAAATGAGTCAGTTAACTACAATTCATGTGAAAGATTCAACTACATGAAAATAATTAACTGAGTAACAAATCGTATGTGAGTGTGTAGTTATGTATGTATGCGTGAGATTGATATGAAGAAATAAATAAAGTTCAAAGATGAAAAATTGATAATGAAACATCGATCTACACGTCAAAACATAAATTGTATTAGAAGCAAAGATGGATAGTGGCTAGCAGTGGAATTCAGGACGCGCGTTTCGTCCTGTTTGGGACTCGTCAACTGGATGTACCTGCATCTCAGAGTTGATGTTCACTCTGGGACTCGAACTCAGTACCGTTAGCTTCAAATGCCATCGCGTTATCCACTTAGCTACTGAGTCCTGATAGCCACTTGCTTGTACAATGGGGTGAAGTTTAATTCACTTGATATCGTTTTTACTTGAATTTTCCCATCCGGCTGACGAGTCCCAAACAGGACGAAACGCGCGTCCTGGATTCCACTGCTAGCTATTATTCATCTTTGCTTATAATGCTTGTAAATTAAGGCAATATCGAGTCAACACGCACAGGATGCACATATGTCAATAAGAGACTGATCAATTTCAGTCCTAAAACATCAATGGGAACATTCAAGTAAAACAATATCAAGTGAATAAATTGTATTGTTTAAAAACTCATTAAATTCTTTCAAAAATAATAACGATGCATGTGATATTTCAAATATAATTTTCACATATAATGACTTCTCTATACTCGGCGCTCAATCACTGTCAAACTATTCGTTCTAATCTTGATGAATATTCGTATAAATTACATATATTGCTTTTTAATTATTATACTACTATATCCAGACTATAAGTAGATGAAAATAATCTGCAAAATTAATAAATTGATGTTATTTTGCCACGATTATTGTTTTGGCCTTTATTCAATCATTGAAATGATGACGACAATAAAATACTATAATTATGGCAAATAAATGTACTGGAACTTATCAGTAGTTCTCATACAGCTATAAAATAAGTTCTAGAGACAAACAGTATTGCCTTCACTAAAATATTCCTCTGAGTTTTATACAAATACAATGTTAGGTTTAAAATAATTTCTTTGATAAATTTCGATAATTCAATGAGACGACGAAATTTGTCAAAATTATATGATGCATTTGCGCAATACATTTGGAACAACCTTATCGCACATCCATACTTGTTAAGACATTTTATTATAAAAATTAGTAGGTCAACTAGACAGGTTAAAGCTAAGCCCCCAAATGCCCTGGTACGGCTGAGAGTGGGGAGAGTCCACTCTCCCTCTCGAAATACTCTCACACGGCCACGCGTATATAGCCTCTGCCAAGGAAGTCCTACTCACTGCCTTCTCGTGGCGGGGGTGTTGTTTACGAAAATGAGAGGACGAAAAGCGAATGTCCGGCGCTTTAACCGGATTCCAAACCAATAGTGCACATGGGCTCCAGTATCCTGCGGGAACAAATGGCGAATGAACCAATTGTTGGTCACCGGCTTCCATGGGACTGCACCTCCTTACGATGCTCCACTGCCTTGTGGATCAGACCTTCAGGTCGAAGGCTCGGGGTGTGGCCCCCTAAGAAAACCACCTGATTCGGTTTGGGCACCCGGGCAGCATCACAGCCCTCACACATATCGAATGAGATTTGTGTGGCGCATATGTATTTGGTGCCTCTTTGT